TTGCTGGTTGCGTAAACGTTCAGGCTGAAAACAGCAGAGCATAATCCGCTGAAAATAAAACCGCCCAGGGTTCGAAATGGAAAATTTATGGAAATATAATCCTAGCATGACCTTCACATAATAGGCTCAGCACAGTTTCCACACATAACATCTCGTTGGTAACAACAACCGCACATTACATATATAATAGCAGGTTCACAAGTGAGGTGTTAGTCAAACTACAGTAGCGTTTAGTAGCTCACTAATCTGGTGGGCCCAGCCGTGACCACCCAGTCCGGCTCGCTCGTCACACGTCTGGGGCGTTGCTCAACAGTCCTGCTGTGCGAGAGAGTGAGAGAGTGCGAGATGGTAAGCGTGCGTGAGTGCAGAGAGCGCCGCACGCTGTAGCCCTGTTGGATGCCGGACCGGCCTTTTTCACGATGAGTGAAAACGCCGCACAAAACAGGTATGTAACTGGTTTAGAGATAGCGGGGAGCGATAGGATGCCGACTGCCGAGACATATACTCAGAGAAGTCTCGTCGATATCTCTTTTGCACCACGAGTCTGGAACGAGAGAATAGAAAATTTACTCCTATTAGTCGTTAGGCATGCCACTATAGCTGTCGCGCGGGCCATACTTCCGAAGGGTTTAAGCGGTTCATTACAGAGTTGGCTGTCATTTAGCTGTTGTCAGTTAATCTGACATGATATTTTTGTAAAAGTATATGACATTTTTGTAAAAGTATCACTTCATAAAGAAATACTTTTTGGCAAATAGATTGTTTGAGTTATAAAACGTTTAACGTGGTAGGTACCTATGAGATAAATAATCCACACTAAATTGATTATATGAACAGTCCTGTTGATTTATTTTGCTGGGTTAGGCTGTTTCTGTCTAACGAGACAATTTTAGAGTTAAAAGGATGATAGGAATTAGGAGGAGACATTGGTCTGGGCGGGCGCCCTGGTGCTCCGCTGGGGCTGAGCCTATCATGTGGACAGGCCACCCAGCCCCGCTATAGCGGTCACCGCACCCGGCTACGGGCTGCTCCTGTGTTGGAGCTATACCCGCATTGAACAAAGGTGACCGTCCAGCCCGGATCAGGGTGTTGAGCTTCGGAAGAGAAGGCTAGAGTTTGGAGAAGCAGCTACTCAGATAAGCGAAAACACCTGAGATACACCATCATGTATGCCGGGGCCTCCGGCCACCAATCTATATAAAAAGGTGATTGCTAGTCATATAAGATAGCCAGCCTGTACCAACAGATTCACTCTCCTTCGGCCTAATGACGAGCTGCATATATGTAAGCGGACCAGCATCCTGCTGGAAGCGGAGCAAGTAAAAGGAACACTTCCTTCCCTTTTCTCACCTCGATAGTTACGTGCACTCATAGCTGTAAGAAGTTTTTCATCAAGGCTGTAAGAATATTCACATGGCGAAGGGAAACAAAACTAAGTCCTTTTCTGTTCTGGCTATTGTTTTGAATTCATTTCGATTAAAGGGACCCTCCCACCTTAACATTAGATTTGAGTTGAGATAGCCAAATTGGTGGCCATGGCCTGAAAATACCGGTTTGGGCACTCACAACATCGAAAAATGCTTTAATTCGGAGATATCGAATTTCAAACTTGCAGTTTTCGGATTCTAAGGGGCTAATGCATTGGTATGCCCCCTTAGAATTTGTGACGTCAGCGGAGATCTAACGATTTTAAATCTTTTACTAAAACGTTTGGTAGCACGCGGTGGTATATGCTGCTTTGCGCGCAACAAATGCCGCACTTTCAAATAAAGTCGCTAGGAACAGCGGAGATCCCAAAATGTAAACAAAAGTAAAAGTCTAATATCTTGAAAACCGGTGAATATTTTTCGATGAAATTTGGTAGATATTCGTTTTTGCTCTTTCTGAACCGAGCGACATCACTTTCATGCCAATTCATTAACTTTTTTGAAGGTGGGAGGGTCCCTTTAACCGGATAATGAGCGGGAGTCATGACATCACTAAAAGGACTGCTTCATTTACTTGGAAGCTCCTAAAAATACCTACCTGTCGGCAGCCTTGACCAGAATGTAGCTCAACATGCATACCTACACGTTGATTTAGATTTATCCAAATCCCGGGGCCACGCGAAATCCCACGGCGTGAGTCTGCGGCCTCGTTTGGCTGGCGCCGTTACCATGCGTTACAAAATAGTGTCATCATATACAGCACATTTGCTGAAAGTACATTAGAGCAATTTGTAACCGGTAAAACTGGGCTAAACATGTTCATGACTCGGGCGTTGAAGTTATCGTAGGTACAGCCCACCGCTAAAGTAATGTAGGGTTTTACCAATCTCAACGATTGGCTTTGACTGGCGATTGTTTAATGCGGAGTGATCGAAAAGAAGATGTCAATAGCTAAAATTGCAGCTGCAAGGGTGACGATACATATAAGCTACATTCAAAGTTTCATTGTAGTCTGGCTAATCGTTCCTAAGCTTCAGAAGCAGAACATACCCATGACTGAAACCACACATTACTTCTGCTGTGGACTGTACCTATGTAGGCACATCATTCGACATAATAACTTTTCGATGGGTGCCTCTCGCAATAAGTACACTAACTAATGTGAAATTGTCGTAACAAGCAATTGCGTCGTCTCAAATAATTATTCTTAGCGTTTTATAAAAATCAAATAAAAATATAGTAGTACCAAAGTATCGTTGCACTCCAAAAGTACACCTAGAGGAACCAACGATTCATTTTACTTGAATTTTAACCCGGCGGCCTGTGGGGTTCTGCGCTCCATAGGGCTGCATGTAGGGTGACATCCCCGAAATGCTGTAGCCCTATATATCTGTTCCGTACTTATGCGCCCGATTCCGCTTTTGGATCGTCAAAAGCGCGGACATTAGCTAAGTTTCACCTTCTGTAGTAACGTGATATCATAGTGTTATTTATTACACTATGGTGATATCCTGACTTAACCCGCGCCCCACTGGGGGGGGGGGGGGGCTAGTCATAGCCCCTCCCGTTTTTTTTTTTTTGGAATAACTTCCAAACCGCTTGACGTATCGGCGTCAAACTTTCAGTACCTTCGGTTGCATCAATTTGACACCTTGTATCAAAATATGAACTTCGCAGCTACCATAGGTCGGCCGGAAATGACGTCAGAGTGACGTCATGTTCGGCCGATTTCGACACAAAACATTGAACCACGGCAATCGCTCCCAAGAGCTTAGTTTTTAAGCTAGATCCGATTTCTTTGCATGAGAGGATTCAGGATAGACTGCGCTATCAAATTGCTGTCTCACATTTTCAAAATTACGAAAATTTTGAAAATTATTTATCATAAAATTCAAACTTAATATTTCCATACTTCCTTCATTTTTTTTACTTTTCGAAAAAACCGGAATACCTATGTGTGATAGAACACATGGTTATGACTTACTCTAACAAGTTTTAGCTAAATATCTTCAAAAATTGCCAAATTATACGCATTATTGCAAAAAATTCACAATTATAGATTTTTTCAAATCAATTTTTCAGTACGTTTTTGACACCATACTCCAAAGTAAATAGCACCATTGTATTTCTGAGCTCAAACTACATCCCATAGACATGTTTTTTGTTGCAAAATTTTAACTTTGAAATTTGACCTTTTATGACCTGAAAATGACCTGACCTCAGCTATATTCAGATGCAAATGTCCTCAAATGACACAGGCGACACCGAATTCGAAATCTATGGCCTAAATTGACCATAAAACATGTGTAACATGACCGACTTATGACATAAGATTTCCGTGACCTATGATGACCTGACCCTGACCTGAAAATCAAAGTACAAGTTTGGTACCCTCAGAGAAGCATCTGTTCACGAGTGTGTAAAACCAAAAATCAGCCTGATCTGACTTGTAACACGGCAGCCAGAGTCCAAAAAGTGAACAAGTCAAATATCGATAATTTTTATTTTGACCTGACCTGTGACGTCATCGGTGACCTCGAAGTCAATGAAATTAGGTTTCTTTCGATAGTTTTTCCGGGGCTATCAGATGCCGTTTTAATTTTGACGATCGGCCCAGTAGTTTCGGAGTTAGGAGGGGGGCTATGAATAGCCCCCCCCCCCCCAGTGGGGCGCAGGTTAAAGTGGAAACTAAGAATACTGGGCGATTCCTTTATGATTTCTAAGTTTTTTTTTCGCGAAAGCTACCCGCCGCTGTCACTAAGTTGTCCAGGAAACAAATAAAACGTCGGATGTTCAGACATCCCTCAATTTGAAAGGTAGGTATGAGGCGTGAACAGCAAACTTGTCCCGTAATCCTTTTATGGCATGTCTGAGATTCTGTGTTGAACCATAACTGATAACAAACCCGATTTATCTACACTTTTCCGATATCCCTCTCGCTCTTATCAGTCTCTGAAAGTCATCGTCATTGTTATTCATTATAAGGCAAATAATAATATACGATAATACCAAATCCATTGTCTGTTAAAGCTACCTATGACTTGAAAATCATTGTTCGAGTTTCCCTAATAAGGTGCCCTTTGAAGCGTTGTAGCCGCAATAATATTTCTATTCCGACATATTAAAAAAAAAACACACAAATACAACAGTATGGTCCTGCGGTTGCAGGGTGGCTAGTAAGCTGGCGATATTACACATGGGTGAAATGGCGGCGTTGAACGTCTTGACTTATTTAGATGCTGCCTATCAAAAGACAGAATATGCGGTTGGTTTTTCTGACTATGCTCAGCATGGTCATTACACTAAGCTACGAATCTGATATGACGCCAAGGTAATGCAAGATCCGTATTGTCGAGACGTTTTCACTACGCATGTTACATTTGTGGAACGTCCAGATCATATGCGTACTCAGTGAGCATTCCAAAGTCGGTGCACCCTGAGTCACTACCACACGTAGGTGCCTATGTTGTTACCGAGGTGCTCAGCCCTGACCTGACCCTTCAGCTGTACCACAGTCTCCGTCTGGGGTCCATCCAAACAGGTCAAACAACGCTGAGATGCGTCCACCACGTCATCCGATGCCGTCATTTTTATTATATAATCCCCGTTGTCTGGCACGCCATAAGTCGTCACCCCACGCTGATGCCGATTCTCAGCAGTTTTGCCAATACACGAGCTGAAGACAAGGTCGTATGTGGTTGTGACCGGTCGAGCTGTCATCTGCGATTGCGAAATTCTCTCGCTAAGCACGTCGTACCGCCGACGTGTTGTCCTAATTCCGCGTTTTGCGCCATTCAGCGTGCAGAAGTTGTGCGGACCCCCGGTTGGGTCCCGGTTTGCAACTCGTCTCGGCGATATAAGGGGCTGCAATAACAGCTTGTCGTCAGACAATCGGGAGAGGCCTGCGGAAGGTGGCACGGTGCCTGTCTGGAGACAACACCAAATTATCGGCAAAGGTGGGCACCTGGACTGAGGAGCACGCAGTGTGGGTCGAGCATTCGAGGATTGTGGAGATAATTGTTTTAGAGCCTATCTCCCCTTCATCTTTGATTGCGTGCTGCACGGTGCACTGTGATTTTTTTACCTTATGATTTATTTTTGCTTTTGTTATTTTGTCGCGCTTCCGAAAACAAATCCATTAATTATTATTGGTTCAGTTGACATTAATTCTAATTTCCCCATGTGTACGTACCTAATTGCACAATTTTCTGTATGTGAGCTGTCGGAGCATTTGGATCAACATTTAGCGTCGTGCCTTTCAACGACGGCATCCAAAGGGTGACGTAAATTGTGAACTATGTACTGCTCCTCATAGCGCACCTCTACCGTCAGGGAAGCACGTCACTCTTTCTATCCGCTGCAGCGCGCTGATGAGCTTCCGTATGACATCTCTGACCGGGCCGTGTCCCTCAGATGCGGGCCAGCTGCCTGCTGTTGGTCGTCCTGGGAGCGGCGCTGGCCGCCGAGAAGGACGCCAAGGAGGACATCCGTGACTCGCGCACGTTCGGGAACCTGATCGGCCTGATCGGCCTGAGGCCGAAGCCGGTGGCGCGGCCGGTGGTGCACGTGCAGGCGGCCCCGGCTCCGTCGGTGGTCGTCCTGCCGGCCAGCACCATCACCGTCTCGCAGCCCGCTCCCAAGCCCGTCTACAAGCCGGTCGTCAAACCGGTCGTCCAGCATGTTGTTAAGCCCGTCGTCCAGCCTGTAGTTCAGCAAGTTGTCCAACCCGTCGTCCAGCCCGTCGTCCAGCCTGCTCCTCAGCCCATTATTGTCCACCCTGCTCCTCAGCCTGTTTACCAGCCCGTGTCGGAGCCCTTGTACCAGCCTGTGGTGGAACAGCCCGTGTACCCGAGTCCCGTACCTGTGTACCCCGATCCCGCTCCCGTGTACCCCACCCCGGCCCCTGTGTACCCCAACCCTGGTCCGGTCCACCCCACCATTGGCCCCGTCCACCCGCAGCCCGACCAGGGCGGTCTGGTGTTCTCGTGGCACGTGCCGGAGCTGGCCGGTCGTCAGTTCACCTGGGGGCAGGCCGACGCGGAGTGCAAGGCCCGCGGACTCCGACTGGTCTCCATCGATAACCCCAGGAAGAATGACTTCATCAGCCGCTCACTCGAGAAAGACAGTAAGCTGGGCGCGCGTCAAGCGGAGATGTTGTCTGGTGTATGACCGTGATGTGTTCTATGATATCTGAAACAGCTTTCCTTGCATATTTATTTAGCAATACTTTAAATTAAAGTCGATTACTACTACAGTAAAATGTTAGGTTCAGCTCAGTCCAATTACGTTTGTTTTATTTTTGTAATAGAAACAAAACAGTGTTTTCAATTGAACGACTTCGGGGTCACTGATGTTTGTTCTGCCCCACCACTGCTATTTGTTCTGACGCCTCTGCTGTGTGTCCGTCAGACATTCCGTTCACCTGGACGTCGGGCCAGCTGGGCGGCCCCACCGGCTGGCAGTGGTCGGCCACCGGTCAGCCGGTGCAGTACACCAACTGGGGGCGCGTCGGCCAGCTGGGCCGACCGCAGCCGGACAACGCCGAGGGCAACGAGCACTGCCTGGCCGTGCTGAACCGCTTCTACCCGGGCGACGGCGTCACCTGGCACGACATCGGCTGTCACCACCCGAAGCCGTTCATCTGCGAGTGACCGCCCTCCATCTGCGAGTGACCGCCCTCGCAGCGGTGAAGTCATAGCGCACGCGTACACTTCATCATGAACAAATGTTATTTGTCGTATGTGTTACTTCTTAATCATGAAAATATGTCATTTGTCATGTGTGTTACTTATCATGGGCTGTGTTGACTGCCTCGTGATGTAACTCGTGTTAGTTCATTTCATCTAAATGTTTCTCATTTGTCGTATGATATACATCATGTGGATGTGTTCCTGGCCCTGGCCTCTGCGTATAGGTAACATGAGCACAGTTGTGTTCCGATCATGCCCCATCGAAAGAAAGCAATGCGTCATGTTGATAATACAAAAGAATCATACCAGTGCTTGCGTTTTGTGTGAATAGGGGAGAGTGGGGTAATTTGGCCGGTGGTGTAAATTGGCCGCCCCCACCTGTACGAAAGCTGATAAAAGTGAATGAAATAACTTTAGTCAATATTCATTTGTCATCGGCAGAACTTACTCGAGAACAAATGTCAAAATTTTCCCCCTCTTAGTTTTATTCAAAATTAATAAAAGGTGAATTTCCTTAGAAAGTGGTAACTTTTACTTCCGTTTAAAAATGTGTATAACATGTAGTATTTGGGCTGTAAACGAATTCTAACATTATGGCGCCATTTTTTAGGGTGTTCAGCGGTTCCAAGAGCAATTTCATCTAGTTCTGTACAGCCATGACGACGTTATAGACAAAAATTTTCAGAATGGCAATGTGGGGTTATTTGGCCGGTACTAGCGGGGCAACTTGGCCGGTGCGCTCAGAGTCACTATGCTGGGACGGCTGAGTTGTCATGGTCAATTATACCATAAAGGACATAATTCATAACCAACTTTGACTACCTTGATGCCATATTTCCTATTGGACAGCTGTAAGGGCATGTGACGTCATCAAAGGTTACCTAACGCTTTTTTTTTTGCTAATAAATACTTACAGAAAAAAGATACAGCCGCGCAAATGGCCTCATTGTGTTCAGCTCGTCAAGGCGCATCGAATGATATACATCATGACCTTGAACTCACGTAACCTTGAGGTCAGGCGACCTGAGGTAACGTGACCTGAAACCAACCTTTGACCTTGACCTCTCGAGGTCAACACATACATGTTTCGATGCGGAATGACGAGAGAGTTACGATGGTACTTTTAGTTTTGGCCTAGCTTGATTACTTCAAAAGCTATTCGTAAAAAAACTGTCATCGCATCTAGAGCCGCTATTTTGACTATTTTCGACCCCTATGACGGCTGAGTCAACCTCCAACATGCTTCAAATGCGTCGTAGGACACGCGTCATTGCTGAATGTGAAGCTGACTCGCCTATAACAAAAATCATGGCCTCAAACTAACACCGGCCAAATTACCCCACACCCCCGGCCAAATAACCCTGCTAGTGGGGCAATTTGGCCGCTGTGCAGACCTTTGTAATACGTCACAATTTCAATATAAGTAGTTACTCTATCATTTCAAGTTTACTGTCCAAGAAAGTAAAATGTATGCCACACCTGTCACCGTTGAGAAAATGCAGAAATGTGTTGTCGATTTTTAGTTACATCGTTTTCTAAAAAAAAGCGGCCAAATTACCCCACTCTCCCCTACCTCCGCTAGCATCACTAATCACTATGCTTACCAGAATGAAACGGCTTAACCCTATTAGTGGCAGGGGGTTGTTTTTATCCACCCCTCAGGTTTTTCGGGAATATCTCCGGCACCGCTGAAGCTACGATGCTGAAATTTTCTGACTTTTCCTAAAACTAAATTGGGCACATTCCCTGAAAATTTCAAGTTCATAACTTTACCAGGGGCGGCTCCAGAGCACTGGGAATTGGGGGGTCCTATTCGTGAAGCGAGTCATTTGGGCGAAGATCACGATGCTGCACCAGTTTTACGAACAGTGAATGAAATGTATCATGTGATAACATATACAGTTATTGTGCATCCCCTTTTGACACGTTTTTGCTAGGCGGATCCAGGCGTCCAAAAAGGGGGGTTATGTTTTACCTCCCAACATAGGTGCCCTGACACCGCCTATGCATGACCAATACAATTCTAGTCGTTCTCTCATAAGAAAATTGTAACATAACAAGACCATTACCACCCTTTTTAGAAACAGTACCAACAAAAACCTTATTTACTATACTTTTTGTGTACCCCCAATCTCAATGATCTGTATCCGCCTATGATTTTTGAAAATGCATATTTTTAGGATCCATGTGAATTCCTGGTTCATTCTCTATCGATCGGCAAAAGTTGCGTTAAGATTGGTTCAGAAACCTGGCCGTGATAAACAGTCTAAAATGTATCTGCAATTTGCCCGTTTTTACCCCCCCCCCCCTCTACCCCCCTAATGAAATTTTTTAATTTTCATTTTTTAGAAATGTACAGGGTGTTTCTGAAAATGTTGACACATTTATTTCTCCTATATCTCGCATGTTTATTGACGCACACACATTGTCATAGGCTACAACTAATCAGTCATCATTGGAAATTCACATCCATCGCCAATGATCACTATTTGATCCCATTCCCGGAACCTAGAGCAGGTGCTCGAAGTGACCACCACATCAAGCCACACAGAGTTTGGCCCGACGGTGCACTGCTTCCAGAACTCGGCGGCGCTCCTGGGGTGTCACCGCCCTCAAGCACGCGCAGACCGCAGCCTTCAGCTCGGGAATGTTTCGGGGTTCAGTACTCTAGGCTCTTTCCTTGACATGACCCCAGAGGTAGAAGTCCGCCTGCGTGAGGTCCGGAGACCTCGGTGGCCACCTTGTGGGGGTGCCTTGGGAGATGAGCCCCCCTCCCCCCCCCCGAAGCGCTCCTGTAGCCACTGTAGGGTCACAGTGGCTGCATGAGCGGGGCACCATCCTGCTACTCGTTGATGGTGTCCACACACTTCCGCTGGAGTGCAGTCCACTGAGAACTTCTTGAGCACCTGCAGATAGCGCTCTGCCGTCACTGTGAGGACGTCGCCCGCGTCATCTTCGATCCAGATTGGGCTGATAATTGCCCGTGCTGCTCACAGCGCACCACGCAGTGCATCGGGGCGGGTGCAGCTGATCTTCTGCGACCTCGTCCTGGGCCTTCTCACTCCAGATCCGGTTGTCCAAATCAGATCCAGATCCAGATCCAGATAAGCGCCATTGTGTCAAAACAACTGAATTGGTTTCGAAGTAGAAATGCACTATCTTAGCTTTTTCCTTCGTGTCAGTAATACGGCGTGATGAATGAAAGCACCGATGCTGTCAAACAAATGTCCAAAAACTCTTTTTTCGTCTCGTGTATTGAACACGTGCATTTAAATGCAGTAAATTCCTCGAAATATCAAAACAAATGTGTCAACATTTTCAGAAACACCCTGTAGAACACGTTTAGCGAAATCGAATGCCGTTTGAATTTTGAAAATCGGCCCGTTAGATCTCGAGATATCAAGGGGGGGTCGTAAACAGCCCCCCCTGCCACTAATAGGGGTAGCCAGGAGCCTGCCACTAATAGGGTTAATGAAAGTTTAAAACTCATACCGATCCATAATCAATGAAACTACAGCTAAGACGGTAATCCCCATACACATCTCCAAGCTTTGGTAGGTACACATACCTATTAGATTGGGTGTAAATCGACCACCTCTTTATGTATTGTCCATCACCTAACAGTGAATCTGCACAGCTTTGCAATTTGAGTTGTGTTCATGAGCTCGATTCGATGATCGTTCAAACCGATCAGACGAGCATGTTTCTATTTGGCATATAATTTTAGTCCAGCAATACGTATGCATGTAACATTTTCAACAACAAAATGGATACAAAAGAGCATAAATGGCACTGCTTTGTTATCACACACTTGCGTCGCAACATTTAGGCATTGCTAAGTGTAGCGCGGGAGGCTGATAGAAAAGTGGGAAAAGTGGAAAAGTGAAGTTTAAGTGTGAAATTATAGTTAGAAATGAAGAAAACCGCCACCTTTCGTCAGTACTCCCTCGATAGACGGTCAAAGAGGAAAATGAGAAGATATAATAGAGGAAGAACAAAGATAGAAAGTGATGAAAGTCCTCCCTTGCAGACAATATTGCATCGGGTGAAGGTCGATGCTTTATGTTATTTGAGGCTGGTCATTCTGGTACATCGAATCGGCTTTGCGATGTTGAATGATATTTTAATGCTTAAATTCTGTATACCCTCGAGTGTCATTTTATCTGATCATTCCGACTGAGTTCAACGCAACTCCTACTGGTCCTTAACCTAAGATTCGTCCATCTCCATTCATTATACCCCTTTCACGTCTTACACACTCCTAGTTTGGTTTGCGTTGCCCCCGAAAATCTCCCTCCAGTAGTGCCGGTGACCAAATGAAAGATTGACCCCCAGGCTGGATAAATGTCCATTAAACTGCATACATTCTCGCTAACAGGGTCTTAAGTGTCGTCTTCTGTCTGCTATCCGCCATATAACAAAGAAGCTAAGTAAAAACTCACCGGAGGCTACCATGCTGTCCCATCCCGGGCCTGCCTCAATTTAGGGCCCCGTCGGCCTGCCGAGTTACCATTAACACCGCAGCACACGCTGCACCGACACCACGTCACTCGACGTCACTACATCTCGGCCTAACTTTTACGGGGGAGCCCGTCGACTCCGAGGACTTATCGATGCCTATCCCACCGACTAGGACTTATCAGGCCTCACTAACTTTTCAGGGGCTCTCATTCCACCACCACCCACGAATACCCGGCACCACTCCACGGGTTGTCATTAACTTCCTACAAGAACGTAAAACTCTCGATCTATGGACTCCTCAAATACCTTGATTACCACAATAATTCAAACTACCTGAACTCGAAACCTCGGAACTCGAACGTCTCTACTTTTCCTTGCACATTTCCCCATTACTTTCGATACCTCGTCTACTAACCTTTACACTGCTACTCCAACTTATCCCACCGATACTCTACCGACGTTACTACCTCACTACACTACGCTACCGGCCCCTCTCTCTCGGTCGAAATAAGACGTGCAGACATTGTTGACACCGCCCTGACAATACAGACCTCTCGCTGTATGCACTCAACTGTACAAAAGCCATGTTGGTAGAAATATCGACATAGAAGCCGGGCACACAAGCCGTCTAGCCTCGAAAAAAAAAACAATTGCCCGTACGATAACAAAAAAGAAAGAAAACGGTAACTTCCCGCCTCAACCTACTCTCGACTCCCTTACATTTCCCGAGGAATTCCTATCCATCGCGTCAATAACACCTCGCCTCGGACTACCTGCCCTATTCCTACTTCGCACTCGTATCCCTTTCCTTACGTCCACTGTATGATCGTAATAGCATAAAGCAACGGT